TCACCTCCTTAAAGGTCCTATCTCCAAAAAGAATCACATTCTGAGGTACTGGGCATTAGGACTAAAACATATAAATTCGGGGAAGACACAATGCAGCCCATAACACCATAAAAACACTTAAAAATAAAACAAAATAGTCCTGGTCGAGTGGCTCAAGTTGGTTGGAGCACTGTCCAATACACCAAAAGGCTATGGGTTCAATTCTGGTCAGGGAACATACCTAGTTGCAGGTTCAATCCCTGGTCAGGGCCCACGTGGGAGACAACCAATCAATGTTTCTCTCTCACATTGATGTTTCTCTCTCCCTTCCTCTCTCTTTAGCATTTAGCATATCTTCAGGTGAGGAAATAAATGAATAAACAAATAAACAAACCAAACAAATATAATATTAAAAATAATATTAAATAAATAAAGTAGCATACATAAAACTCGTAACTAATAAAAAAGAAATATTAACTGTTTTTGGCCTATATCTTCATATAAACTTGTCTCATAGTCTCACCTTTTAATATTTTACATAGGCCTTCTCACATAATGTATATCCCTAGGAGAAATGTATTTCATTTTTTTTGTAGTAGCTTTCTAAGATCTTAGACACTAAAGTGGATCACAAGGTAAACAGTTTTGTTGTGAGTAGTTAGCTACATCGAACTACTAGAGTGTTATGAACTGAATGTTCTCCCTGCAAATTCCTGTGTTGAAACTTACCAATTCTTATTGTGATGGTATTTGGAGGTGGGGCATTTGAGATGTAATTAGGCCAAGAGAGTGGAGCTCTTGAATGGATTAGTGCCTTATAAGAAGAGGCCAGAGAGCCAGCTCACTCTCTTTCCACAACAGGAGGATACATACAACAAGATATCAACCGTCTGTGAACCAAAAGAGAGCTCACACCAGGACACAACTGTGCTGCCACCCTGTTCTTGGACTTACAGCCTCCAGAACTGTGAGAAGTAAACTCATGTTGTTCAAAAACCACCGGTTTATGGTCTTTTGTTATTGCAGCCCAAACTGAGCCATAAAGCATTATCTACTTTTTAGATAATCTGGACAATATTATCCTTCACTTTAAAAATTATACAAAAACTGAGAAGTTGATATGGGTTAAGTGATAGCATAAGTAGGAAAATTTATAACTGGTTAATTGTCCTCACCAGTGTCCCATTTCTACCTCACTGGAGCTCACCAGTGGAGGGCTAGGGGCTTGATTCCCTGATCCTGTGAAACAGGATTTAAATGAAATCATACAGAAAATAGTGGCCAAACTTAACATCTCTGGTAAGCTAGCACCTTAGTTAGAAATCAACATTAAATCCCCCAAAAGATCTTGACAAACTGAAAGTATGGGCCCGATAAGGTGATAAAATTTAATAGACTAAATGTATGATTCTAATTGAGGGTCCAAAAACACCAGAAAAATACAAGAAAATTATGGCTTAACAATAACACACATTAAAAATTTTATTAAGAATTTTAATTAGTAATAAAGACACTGAGGGTTAATAATGTGCTTATTGAGAGTTACTCTATTAGGCAGTATCAATAGAATTATAACTTCTTAAGAGAAAGAGATGATCATCCTATTTTATTCTATTTTTTTCAGGTTTCATCTGGAATTTTTGTTTCTAGGTAATATACTTTATAAAGTATAATGTTAAGTTGGTGAATATATTTAATGCCATGTTAAATGAAAAACAGCAATGCAACTGGAAATGTTAGAATAAAACAAGACTGGAGAGAGACAGAACACTTGTCTTCAAATATTTGGAGGGTAATCATTTGTGGTCCCTGGGAGGAAGAATTAAATTGGGCTGGCTAACTCCTCCTCATCCTTTAGGGAATATTGCTTCTTTGGGGAGGCCCACTCTGGCCTCCAGCCTGTGAGCTTCCAATCACCAGCTTCCTCAGCACTCCTTCTCCATGGGACACCATCCTACTTCTAATTGCCAAGTCTTAGCTCTGCTGGATTGTTAATTCCCAGATAGGGTGGACCGTGTCTGATTCGGTAGTCCTGTTACACTTCGTGCAGAGCACAGGTTCATGAACGAAAGAATACATGAGAAACAGATTTGACTGTAATATGACAATGTAGTTTTTAATTCACAGGCTGTCTGAAGAAGCAGCAACTTTTCTTTCACAGGAGGCCCTCACTTAGCCATTTCAAATGGCAGTCCATTCAACTGGGGCAAAGGCGGGTAAGATAGAGGGGACAAAGCATGGGGGGGGTGACTGGATTAAATTATTTTTAGCCTCCTTGCCAACCTGAGTGATTTGAGTTCCCTGTAATTTGAGTTCTGCTCTGAAAGGTTATGCTTATTATATCATATATTCATTTTAGTACATCAGCCATATTCTGATCCATCTTGGAAAAGTTTAGTAATAAATTTCTACATAATTGCTTCTGTTCAATCTCAAATCTCATTTGATGTTTCTCTCTCTTTCCCTTCTCCTTCTCTCCATACTCCAAAAAGTGATGGTTAATATTACTATTTTATTGTAAGGATGCAAAAAACTTCAGAAAACACAGAAGCAGACAATGAGGTGAGGTCAGACTCAGAGACAAGGAGAGTATTTGAGATTCTTAGCATGAGCTGTGCCAAAAGGAAATGCAGATTTGATAAATGACACAAAGTTATTACCTCTCCATTTCCCTTTCTGCCAATTCAATTTTTTTACAAGGGCCCAATTTTCCATAGAAACAGATCAGATTTACAGCAAATACAAAGATTGCATCTTTTATTTATAAGGCAAAAAACCTACCCAACCTACTTTTCATTAAAATTGTGTGTCCTGTAATACTGGCTTTCTGAGTATTAGGCAAACATTTCCTGACACTTTGGTTGTTCCTGTGGGAACTAACAAGCAAAGACCTTGAAGGTCAATCTCCTCAGCAGAGTTCCGGAGACTACCAATTCTGACCTTGGTTACTAGGTTCACTCTGATAATGAAGTTTCGGGATGAAGTTGTGAGAGGTGTGAACAAACACATGCTCAATATCTTTTCTCCACTCTGCCTTCCTTCTAGAGCAACATCTTTTGTGAGAGTACCCTCTAGCCCGAAATCAATTCATAGGTAAATAGGGAATTAGGAAAAGAATATGTCATTAACAGGTAATAATTAAAATACAAATGTAACATTTATTTTGAATTTTATTACATCCACTGAAAAGGGTTTGAAAAAATACTAGGTAGATAAAATAGGGACAGGGAGTTACATAGGGCGTAGGTAAGACTGGCAAGTGATACCCTTCAGTAGAGAGTGTGACTGTGTAGGGGGCTGGCACAGGAGCTTCAAGAAAGCTCCCCCCACACAGGACTGAGGATGGCTATCCTGAGTTTAGGTGTGACCTGGACAGAGATAATTCCTGTCTCCTTTAAATTTAACGTCTAACTCTTTCCGAAGATTTAATTCCTTATTCTAAGGATGAAGAAAACAAGACAGAGGTTACAGAGAAAATATCAGAAGTTACACGATTTTCAAATGCTTAACATTTTCTTTCTGTACCACATTATGCTGGCATTATTTAAAGACCAGAAAGTAAGTGCTTGATTTTTACCTCACTCTGCATATACTTATGCTTTCTACAGCTTTCAACAAACCAGTCAAATGTGGTCATTCCTACATTTAATATAATAACTTCACATATGTCTGAGAAAAAACTACATGTGAAAAGAATATGCCTATGCTAAGCAAAAACTAAATGGTTGTACTCTTCAGACCAGTACTTCTCAAACTTGGATGAGCACTCAGATCAGCTGGAGATCTTGCTAACATGCAGATTTTAGTCCAGGAGGTCTGGGGTGCAGCCTATCATTCTGAATTTCTAACAAGTTCTCAGCTAGGGATGCTGGTCCACAGACCACACTCTAAGCAGGTGTTAGATGAAGACATGAAGACCCAGCTTTGGCAGGAAATCTGTGCCCTCAACTTCATTCTCACTTTAATTTGTTTTCCCCTGAGTTCTTGCACTATTTCCTGTTTCACTGGTATTAGAAAATTTTAGGACCATGCAGAGTGTGTATAAAAGAAAAGCAAATATTCTAACATTCCAACCTCAAGAGGAAGAATAATAAGATTTTAAGTTGTCTCAAGGGTAGAGACATTATATTTTGATATGCATGAATTATACATACATCATGCAAATCATTGAACAAACATACAGTAGCCTGTTTCTTTCCATAAATGAAGCCGTGTTTGCAGAGGGGTTACAGGAAGTTGATTTAATTAATGCACAGCACACCACCTCATTGTTCAGGTATCTCTGGAGAGTGAAGTGATCTGAATAATTCAAATTTTCCATATAACTGAAGTTTATCTTTTTAACTTTCCAAATATATTTATTTTAGTGATTTTTTAATCAAAGTCTTCCTGGAATTAACATATTCAAAACATAGTTTAAAATATCTACAATTATCCAGGGACTACAATGATTATTCTATGGCATCATATAATAATGCTGTAGGAACTACACAGGTCTAAATGGGCTGTGCACTCTTAAAAACGTAGAGCCTTAGATGCCCTCTCGGGGTTTCTCAGCCTATCTGGAGCAAACTTTCTCCATGATCAGCTGCCACTTCATGCTACTCTCTGAGTACCCTCCAAGTACAATTTTAATCTACTGCTTTATTTTTTGCATAATATTCTGGGACTATTCTGAGACTGGCTCTTTTATTGCTTCTAGAGAGAGGGAAAAGGAGGGAGAAAGAGAGGGAGAGAAACATGGATTGATTGTCTCCTGCACGTGCCCCAATCGGGGACTGAACCCACAACCCACGCATGTGCCCTGACCCGCAATCGAACCAACAATCTTTCAGTTTGCTGGACAATGCCCAACCAACTGAGCCACACAGGCCAGGGCCCCTTCATGTTTTTAATGCAGGAACTCTCTTCCAGGGCTTTGGGTGAGTGGTAACCTGAATCAAGGAAATCATTTTGGCTTAAAGAAATCATGCAAATTGATCCCCTTTAAGCACCTCTTACTGTGACTATTGAATACTCACTGATCCCAGTGTCCTTACAGTACTGGACCAAGAACTGTCCCATGACTTTTAGAAGATGATTATATTCTTGGACATTAAGAAATTCCTGCTTATTGTGTGATGGTTCCATGATCTCCAAGGGTACGTTAACAATTCCAACCACACCTGCACCAAGTCTGGAGGAATAAACACACATAAATTTAGTGAAAGTTAACTAAAGAGAAAAAGCAGAAGCAAATATACCCAGTATTTTGAAGTCAATTTTTTCAAAAATAAATGTGTTCACTTGGTCTGAACCATGTCAAAGGTTAACAGTTATTTTACAACAGTATCTTGTTACATAAATCTATGATGATCCCAGGTATGTTTAGGCTTTAGTACATCATCTCTGAATTAATATGCCTCCTTCCCCAAACCTATCACCTTACATGGGGAATCAGATGGTGATAAGTGAGATGAAGAAAATAAATCGGAAGCTGTAATATGCAAAAAAAAATGACAGATTTTGAGGGTGGGGTCATGGCAGGGGCTGATTTTATTTAGACAGTCCAGGAAGACCTTCCTGGGAGGGGACTTTAGAGCTAGTGCCTCAATGACATACTAGGACCAGCAGTATGAGCTAAAGACAGAAGGTTCTAGGCAGAGGAAATAGCAAGCGTCAAACCCATAAGGCAGGAACAATTTTAGGGTGTCTGAGGAACAGGAAGCCTGCTGGTGTGAGGGAAATGCAGAGAGAGGGTGGGTATGGGTGGGGTGGGGGGTGTCAAAGAGCCAGGTAAAGACCAGGTCCCTGGAAGACCATGGTAAGTAGTTCTATTCTACATGCACTGGGGTTTGAAGCAAGGCATGCATTGGGGTCTGACACTAATTTATGTTTTCAAAGATCATTCTTGCTGTATCCATGCAATAAAAAAGTATATATTTATATACTCATCCTTTTCACTGGACTATAAGTTCCTTAGCAAATAGCAATAGGTCTTCACCATCTTCTGCAGAGTTTAGTGCAATGCTTGGCACACATGATATTCCAATACAAGTGCTTGTTAAGTGAACATATGAATGAATTGCTAATTCCTTAAGAGTGAGAAAGCAAGATGAAAAAGTTCCCCTAAGCCATTCCACTGGTCACAGTTGTCTTGTCCAACTCTATGCTTTCTATAATCTCCTTTCAGGACACTACATAATTCATGAAAGCAGCTGGTGGAGTTTCAGACCATTGGGAAAGCACCACAAAGTCTTGCTCTGGAATTCAAATAGGCTTTAGTGTTAAAAATATACGCTCATGCAGTTAACTGGCAAGAACTCATACATGAAGGGGCTACACAAAATGTTAACAGGGTTGTTTATATGACTATGGATTTTTCTTTTCTAAAACTCCTTTCATATGCTTGCATTATTTTTAAATTGGTAGAATCCTGAAAACTTAACTCAAATAAATGGTGCAAACAATGTTAAAACATCAAGTTGCTAAGAAAATGCATTGAAAAATTTTCCAAAAGTGAGCTTCTTCCTTAGAGCAGGCATACAGCTCTACTGGTATTATAAATTAGGCAGATTAATGCCTGCGCATTGATGGGAAGGGTGAACAGAGGATGTGACACCTGCTCCTGTTATGATTAATCACTCATCTAACTTCAGAAACAGCATCTTACAGCAACCTCCCTCCTCCTGCCTGTGCCTCTGAAAACAAAAACATACTTACAAGGATTTCATTTTCAACTGCGGACCCACTTTCTCATGCATCTTGATCAGGCGGTTATTACTGTAAATGAACATCCCAGCTTGGTTTCGGTTTTCTATGTTCACTCCAAAGAACAGGGAAAGTGTCCTTGCTTTCTTTAATTCTCTAGCATTATATTTAGAAAAGTTTTAAAAAGGTTTTATTAAATAAAAATATACAGCTTACGAAAAATGTGAATAATTAAACTCAGAAGGCAAGTATGGAGGAATTGTATATAAGGTACCTGGTATTTTGCAAAATCTACTCAGTATACACAGTATCCCTGCCTAGTCAAGTGTTTTGCATAAACATATGGCCAATAACTGTACCAATCAAACACAAACATTCCTGGATTCAAAAACAAGTTTACCAATTTAAATGTACAAGAACTAGAAAATGCCAAAATAGTCGTAAATGTTAACTGGTATAATATGTACATTGCACCACTTTTGAAAAATGATGACTTGACTATTTTAAAATTCAGGTATTTCTAACACTGGATGGGATTTCTAAATTCCAGCATGTTCTCAAGCCTCCAAATGTCCTATGTCAGTCGGAATGTGCCAGAAGATATTCCTTAGCTTTTGTTCTTTTTCCAAAGTCAAAGTTAACAAAGTTTACAAGGACAACAGAAGCTCCTGTTTCTCTAACTCTGTCCTACTACACTATGTATTATGTGACTTTTCTATTAAAAGTGTAAAATGGAATATGATAGAAACCACCATAGTAACAGGAGGCTATTTGGAGCTATTGAGAAGTGCCAGGACATAAAATCAGAAAGATGGACCTGGCTTCAAATACAAGTTTATCTTTGTAGTAACCATGTGACTATGGATGAGTCACTTCGACTTGCTGTCTCATCAAAAAAATGGAAATACACCTATCTGGTCACATGGGATACCATGAAGACTAAAAGAGATAATGGTAATATATACCTGGAACAGATTAGGTGCTTAGCAACTGTTATTTTCTTTTCCTAAGAATGGTAGCAAATATAATTCCTCCCCTCCACCCACCCTATAGCTCTTTTCATTCCACAAAAAATGGCCTTTTCTTTTCCAATTTGTGACCATACGCTATTACAACTGGCATAAGATACTTACTGGACTGATTAAGTGTATCATTAAAGGACAATGATAAAGTTCTATCAGCCCTGACTGGTGTGGCTCTGTGGATTGAGTGCCAGACAGTGAACCAAAGGGTCACCAGTTCGATTCCCAGTCAGGGCACATGCCTGGATTGTGGGCCAGGTCCCTAGTATGGGGCACGCAAGAAGCAACCACACATTCACATTTCTCACCCTCTCTTTCTCCCTCCCTTCCCCCTCTCTAAAAATAAATTAACAAATCTTTTTAAAAAAACCTTCTATCAGCCCTTTTCTGTGGATATGATATAGAGTACATAGACTTTCTGAGAAAGTTATTAACATGGGTTCATATTTATAAATTTTTAACATGTAGGATTAAATATATGTGAATTGAGCTTTTTCTCAAAAATGTTTATTCAAAATAAATCTACTCAATAATAGGTTCCCACTCTTTAACAAAAGAATACTATGTAAGGAATCCCCAAACAGAGTGTTACAGGATATGACATAATCACTCTGTGATCTTAAGTGGCATACCGCTTGTCTTCAATTTTTTTTAAAAAGCCTTTTGCTATAAAAATTTCACACCAACTGGCATTATTATTAATAAAATATAGGCTGGTTACATTTCATGCATATCAGTGTGACTTCAAACAAGTCATCAACCAGCTTTTTCTTTCTGAAGACTCTAAAGGGGCCTTTGCTTTTCAATGAAGATTTCTATGTCATTTATTTAACAATAATTTGGATAGATGCATAACTAACATTTCAAATTTAAGGTTTTGAGAAAGTGATGATTGGTTACATAACACTTTATGAGTCATGAAATAAAATGCTGAAAACTAGTAATTCTTCCCTAAAAATTCATTTCTCAAAGCTAATGCAGTTTTTGAAGTCTGACCTTACTTAAACAGCAGCAAATATTTTCAGTTTAACTTGTTAAACACTTGAGCTGGAGAGCAAGTCAACCTTACAAACATAAATAATGGTGCTGTAACACAGGCTTACTATTTTTATCTAAACCATATATACATGATAAACTTACTTGGAATATTTTCTACCTTAAATTTTAGTAAGTACTAGAAGAGGGAAGAAACCAGGACCAACTTTCCAAAGTTTAATTGGCAAAGGACACAGGGAAAGTAAAGTTGTCAGCAGATCCCCTGGGAAAGTCACTTCTTCATCTAATCAGATACTGAACTAATTTTTTACTCTGTATTCAGAAGTTTGAACATTATATGTAAACATATGTGTACCTGCAAATATATCTTTATAAATACTTTATATTGATTATGTTGGTTACAAGATTTTGATCATATGATGCTTAATGTATAAGTTGTCATAGGCTGAGAGAGAGAATTTTTTGCAAAACCACCAAATCTGCCTATCTACTCAGATATCAAAACTTGTTTTAGTATAGCACATAGGATTCTGGTAAACAGAAAATCTTATGCCTTACCTCCGTTTCTCTTGAAGAATCTTATGCTTTGCTTCCACATCTTCCAAAGCTTTCTGTATTACATCCTGGAGAAGAGCACTTGGTTAGAAGAGAACATTATGCCATTAAATTAACGAGGGCTGAGTTCATATTTATTATCCTATTATATGAATGTTTCACAAGGGTAGCAGTGATAGGTCACATTGCCTAATGCAATTTTACCACAGTAGAAAATAAATACTTGATAACTGACTACTTCCAATAGCTAAGAAGACAAACTAAATTCTAGCCCACAGTTCTCTTCTTGCACAAATTCTGATGCCCTCTCTGCCTTGTAGAGAAAGAACCACTGATCCCTGTAACCACAAAGGTTTTCACACTAACTTCCTGAAAGCTTGGGAAAGTCACTCAATGTACCTACACTCTGGCTTCCATCTGTGAGAACAGAAAATGCTGAATCATATAAGGCTTCTGTCAGGAAAAAAATATACATATAAAATTTAAAAATTTGGTCAGGAGCCAAACGAATTGCTTCCTTTACATAAAGTTTCTGATATGCCCTAAAATTTTCTTTCTCAAGAGTGCCTCAATACCAGTGCCCTCTTTCTTCTCTTTTAATTTGATATATTTGGTTCATGCACTATCCTCTCTCTAATACACTCCCTCTAACCAGACAGGAAAAAATGTATCATTATTTCACAAATAAGACTATACTTTTAGAGGACTTCCAGTCAAGACAGAGACATAGGTAAACCTGGCTTGCCTCCTCACACAACCACAGCAAAAATTACAACTAAACTATAAAACAACTATCACCAAAAAAACCATCAGAAAGTCAAGCTGTACGAAAGTTCAACAACCAAGGAATTAAATCACATTCATCCAGACAGGGAGAAGGTGTGGAGATGCTGAGACGTGGAGACACAGAATGGGCAGTCCCACACCCGTGTGTGGTGGACAAAAATTGGGAGGGATACCTTGGGAGTGAAGGATCTCAGCCCCACACCAGACCACACAGCCCAGAGTTCCAGTGCCGGGAAGGTAAGTCCCCATAACTTCTGGCTGTAAAAACCAGGGGGCGTTGGGGCAGTGGAAGAAACTGCAGGATTCTTAGGTGTCTTCTCTTAAATGGCCCATAACAAACTTAGGACTTACACAGATTCACACCCTCTGGGCTCCAGCACTGGGGCCCCAGCTGGAAGGGCACCAGTGGTATATAGGGAGAAACTGAAGTTTCTAGCAACAGGGCAAGCACCAGGGAACAGCTTCCTCCCAAACAAAACTCCAGAGGCCAGGCAGAGGCATTGTCACCTTTCTGAGCCCTCCCACACACCAAGTCACAGAGTGGCAACACCATAGCTGAGACTCCATGAACCTGGTTTACACAAGTTGCCCCACCCAGATTATTACCGAAGGCTCTGCCTCATCCTACTTATTCATGCAATTTTCTACAATAGGCCACACTGCTAAGATAGGGAATCAAAGCAGCTCTACCTAATACATAGAAACAAACACAGGGAGGCTGCCAAAATGAGGAGACAAAGAAACATGGCTCAAATGAAAGAGCAGAAGAGAATTCCAGAAAAAGAACTAAACAAAATGGAGATAAACAACCTATCTGATGAAAAGTTCGAAACACTGGTTACCAGGATGCTCAAAGGACTCATTGGGTACTTCAACAGCATAAGAAAGACCCAGGCAAATATGAAGGTTACACTAAGTGAAATAAACAAAAACTTGCAGGCAACCAACAGTGTAGTGGATGAACTCAAGACTCAAATCAATGATTTGGAAAATAAGGAATAAAAAGATTTACTCAAAACAGCAAGAAAAAAAATTATCCAAAAAACAAGGATAGGTTAAGGAGCCAATGGGACAGCTTCAAATGTACCAACCTTTGAATCAACAGGGTATCAGAAGGAGAAGAGAAAGAGCAAGAAATTGAAAATGTATTTGAAAAAATAGTGAAAGAATACTTCCCTAATATATTGAAGGAAATAGGCATACAAGTCCAGGAAGCACAGAGTCCCAAACAAGATGGACCCAAAGAGGACCACACCAAAACACATCCTAGTTAAAATGGCAAGGGTTAAAAATAAACAGACAATTTTAAAAGCACAAAGAGAAAAGAAGTAAGTTGCCTACAGGGGGATTCCCATGATACTGTCAGCTGATTTCTCAAAAGAAACTTTGCAGGCTAGAAGAGATTGACAAAACATATTCAAAGTCATGAAAAGCAAACACCTACAGCCAAGAGTGTTCTACCCAGCAAAGCTATCATTTAGAATTGAGGGCAGATAAAGTGCTTCCCAGACAAGGTAAAGCTAAAGGAGTTCATCATCACCAAGCCATTATTATATGAAATGTTAAAGGTACTTATTTAAGAAAAAGAAGATCTAAACTATGAACATTAAAATGGCAAAAAATTTACAACTTTCAAAAATTAAATCTAAAAAACAAACTAAGCAAACAAGCAGAACAGAAACAGAATCATAGATGTGGAGATCATTTGGAGGGTTTTACGTCAGGAAGGAGGACAGAATGGGGGAAAAGGTGCAGGGATTAAGAAGTACCAATTGATAGGTACAGAATAGACAGGGGGGTGTTAAGAACAGTATAGGAAATGGAGTATCCAAAGAATTATATACATGACCCATGGACATGAACTGCAGGGGGTGATTGCTGGAAGCAATGGGGAATACCAGGTAGAGGGGAACAAAGGGGATAAAATTTTGGACAACTGTAATAGCATAATTAGTAAAATATCTTTCTTAAAAATGCACTTTTAATATTCTCCATCCACTGGATGTAAAAAATGGGCATCCCATTTGATGGGCATAGCACTGACTGAACATTATTTGCACTAACTTAGAAGTAAAAAAAAAATGGTAAGTGGTTGGTAAGGATTTCACTTCACTTCAAATTCAACCACTCAACTGATGAGAGGAATTTAAGAGGTCAAATGCCAAGGTCATTCTACTTTCCTCTCTTCTCTGTGTTAAAAAAACCCCCCAGTGTACAACAGAGCAGCAAAGCAAGCTGGTCAAAGACATCCCTGCCCTTCCTGTCAGTACACTTAGAGTGCAGAGCAAAGAGTGAGAGCTCAGGGTTAAGGCCACAGGAAAGCAAGGTCCTGACCCATTAGAGAGAGTCTGTTTCTCTTGTCTCTCAAATACATAAAGCCAAGGAAATTGATTTCTTAGAGATAAAATACCAAAGGCTTAAACTTTAAATCAATAGCAAGATGGGATTTGCTTTAACTTAAAAAATATATATATATATATATATATATGTATATATATATATATATATATATATGGAAAAATAGTAGGAGAATTTGGGGAAAGGCATACATAGCTGGGGGCATTACAATGTGCTACTCTGATTTCATCCACAATCATGACCATTAGACATAAGAGCCCTTCTTCAGGCACAGCCCTGGTCTTTGAAAGTTTCAGGGCAAATCATGAAAAGAATTGATAAATTGAATCCATAGAAAAGAATAAAGTGAAGTAAGGCCTTTTCTTCTCCAAATACATACTTATCCCTCTGTATGTATGCAAGTGTGTTGTATAATAATTCACCATGTAGAAATCTTTGTTCCATATTTTTGGTAAAAGTTAGCAAACTTACAATGCATGTTCTACAGTAATCAATATCTTTTTCTCTTAGTTGCCATGCATTATAATTAATAATAATAGTTCTTTGTAATCTATCTTACTTGTGGGTATATTGCAAGAACTACAGAGAATGTTTATGACTGCGTGGAGTACCTCATATGAAAAGATCTTTGTAAGCTGGAAGTATTGTTATTAATATTCATCATTATAGCACGTAATTCCCAACACTGGAAAGAAAAATTGCTTATTAGTCTCTCCGCTCTGCCCATTTATTTATGTCCATAAGGAGCTATAATTTGAAAAGATATTTTCAAGGAGACTTGATAGGCTAGTTTTTTTTATCTGATAGCTTGTCATTCTTATCTCCTTTTCTCGTATTCCTTTTCTTTTAATTTTAAAGAAATAAGTTGTGATTCTCTTCCCATTGTTCCAAATTCAACCTATGTTTCATTCATCTTTGCTCTATCTCAGCCTTCCCCCACTTGCTGAGTTTTGTTTCCTTTCTCTGCATTCATCTATTCTGTTACCTGTGTGAAAATCAACTTAACCATCTGAGCTTGTCTTTCCTTAAAAGTTTAGGGAGTAAAAGATAAAAGACAACAGTGTTAAGGATAAGAAAAGGACACTGCCATTTAAGAAGACTATTCTCTATGTCATACCTGGGTAGAAAAAGACAAGGAAGTTCTGTCAGGCTGGTTTACCTTGATTTGTGCATCTTTCAAGGTGAGTTCAGCTAGAAGCAGAAGTAAGGTAACTATGATATTATGAATCTTTTAAGCAATTTTAAGAGATCATTCTAAACATACATAGCCATGACCAGGGAGACTTATGAATAATCATCTCAGAAAATCCCATATTCTATCCACAGATCTTAAACATTCTAAGTGTAGGTAGCCATACTGTACTTCCTCTTAGACATGGCAACTTAAAGGGAATAAATATATAAATACAAATTAAAAAGTCATTACTGAATGTTTGGCTAACTGAAAACTATCTAAATTCATAAACTTTTGATATAGAAATGCTCGTTGCTCCTAGATCACTGGGAAAGTATGGCTCTGTCCTTACTGTGAGAGAAGAGAATGTGTAGAATATTCCTTCTCAAAGTGGATGCGACACTAGTCTCCAAAATTATCTAACTCAGCATCAGTGACAAGGGTTTCTAAAATATACCAATCCAGTTCTAAGTGCACACTTGAAATTTGTATCATACTTATAATAATAAATAACATAATAACTAAATAAAACCAGAGATGGGAAAATGTTTTATAAGATTCCTTAGAGGTAGAAACTACACTTGATTCATTTGGTCACTGCTGCAATGCTACTGCTGTATGTTTCCTAGAACATGTACACAATTCATGTTTGTAGAATGAATGAACAATAATGACACAGGCCACAGGTAACTACATACCAATCTTTACTGCTTCTTCTGCCTTTTTAACTTCATTTTTAAATGCTCCTTTAAAAGAAGTTGTGACATACAGATACTTTCTGAAAAAAAAAAAACAATCAAGTCACACTACCATTTTAAAGTATAATAAAAATACTCTTTAAGAAGATTACATACTCCTGATTTACATAATTAATGAAAAAGATATATACAGTAAGTTGCATCTAGCTGATAAATCAGAGAACTTTATTCCTCAGAAGAAATTCCTTACCTTTCAATACTTGGAATTTTTTTCTTTCCTATTGAATTTATGGGAGTGACATTAGTTAATACATTATATAGGTTTCAGGTGTACAATTCTGTAATACATCATCTGTATGTCGTGTTGTGTGTTCACCCCAAGTAATCTCCTTCCATCACCATGTATCCCCCTTTTACCCTTTTCAACCTTCCCCAACCCTCTTCCCTTCTGACATCTGTCAGTCTGTTCTCTATTTATGAGTCTGCTTCTACTTTATTAGTTTATTTTGTACATTAGAGTTCACATACGAGTGACATCATATGCTACTTGTCTTTCTTTGACTGGCTTATGTCACTTAACATAATGTTTTCTAGGTCCATTCATGCTGTCACAAAGGTTAAAGATTTCCTTCTTTTTTTACAACCAAGTAGTATTCTACCGTGTAAATGTTCCACAACTTTTTTCTACATATACTGTCATGTCATCTGCAAACAGTGACAGCTTTAGTTCTTCCTTTCCAATGTGGATGCATTTTATTTCTTTTCTTCTCTGATCACTGTGGCTAGAACTTCCAATACAATGTTGAATAGAAGTGGTGAAAGTAGACACCCTGATCTTAGGGGGAAAGCTTTTAGTTTTTGCCCATTGAGTGTAATGTTGGCTGTAGGTTTCTCACATACAGCCTTTATTATGTTGAGGGATACTCCTTCTATTCCCACTTTTCTGAGTGTTTTTTATCATAAATATGTACTGTACTTTATCACGTGCTTTTTCAGCACCCATTAATATGATCATGTGGTTTTTATCTTTTGTATTGATTATGTGCTGTATTACATTTACTGATTTGTGTATATTGTACCATCCTTGTATTCCTGGGATGAATCCCACTTGATCATGGTTATGATCTTTTTAATGTCTTGCTGGATGTGGTTTGTCAATATTTTGTTGAGGATTTCAGCATCTATGTTTATCAGTGATGTTAGCCTGTAGTTTTCTTTCTTTGTTGTGTCTTTATCTGGTTTGGGAATTAGGATAATACTGGCCTCATAAGAAGAGTTTGGGGGTCTTCCCTCTTCTTGGATTTTTGGAATAGTTTGAAGAATTTGGAATAGCTCTTCTTTAAACATTTGGTAAAATTCTGTGAATCTATCTAGCCCAGAGACAAACTCTGGGCGAGGAGTTTTTTGATTACTGCTTCAATTTCATAAGCAGATTATTGGTCTATTCTGGCTTTTTGCTTCTTCTTGACTCAGTTTTGTAGGATTATATGTTTCTGAAATTTGTCCATTTCACCCACATTTTCAAATTTCTTGGCATGTTTTTGTTCACAGTAATTTCTTACAATCCTTTGTATTTCCATGGTATCAGATGTAATTTTGCCTCTTTTGTTTCTAATTTTATTTATTTGGGTCATCTCTTTTTTTCTTGATGAATATGGTTAAAGGCTTGTTGATTCTGTTTATCTTTTCAAAGAACCAGCTCCTGGATTTATTGATCCGTTGGATTGTTCTTTTAGTCTCTACATCACTAAATTCTGCCTTGATCTTGATTATTTCCATCCTCTACTTGCTCTGGGCTTTGTTTGTTGTTGTTCCTCCAGTTCTTGTAGATGTAGGGTTAGGTTGGCTATTTGAAATATATTTCTTTTTTAGGTATTCATGAATTGCTATGAACTTCCCTCTCAGGACTACCTTCTCTGTGTCCCACAGGTTTTGTGTTGTTGTGTTTTCATTTCTTTCCAGAAACATTTTGATTTCTTTCTTGATCTCATTGTGTACCCATTCATTGTTTAAAGACATGTTATTCAGTCTCAATGTATTTGAATGTTTTTAAGTTTTTTCCTTGATATTGGCTGCTAGTTTCAGGTCCTTGTGGTCCAAGAAAATGCTTGATATGATTTCAATTTTCTTGAATTTGTTGAGGCTTGTTTTGTTTTCTTTTTAAAGTGTTTTTTATTGATTATGTTATTACAGTTTTCTCAATTTTCCTCCTTTGTGCTCCCTCCACCCTGTCCCCCCAACTCTCCAGCATTTCTCTCCCCCTTAGTTCAAGTCCATGGGTTGTACGTGTTAGTTCTTTAAGTCCTCTGTTTTCTATATCATTTTTATCTCTCCCTGTCTACTTTATGCCTACTAAATATGCTTCTTCTTCCCTGTACATCCCCCCGCCATTTCTCCCTTCCCCCTCTCCACTGAAATTCCTCCATGTGATGTCCATTTCTCTGATTCTGTTCCTGTTCTGGTTGTTGATTAGTTTTTGTTTTCATTGTTTTTCTTTTCTTTTAGGTTCATTTGTTGATAGTTGTGAGTTTGTTGTCATTTTATTGTTCATATTTTTTATCTTCTTTTTCTTACATAAGTCACTTTAACATTTCATATAATAAGGATTTGGTGATGATAAACTCCTTTAACTTGACCTTATTGAGGAAGCACTTCCATTCTGCCCTTTATCTGCCCTTCCATTCTAAATGATAGCTTTGCTGGATAGAGCAATCTTGGATGTAAGACCTTGCCTTTCATGACTTCAAATACCTCCTTCCAGCCCCTTCTTGCCTACAGGGTTGCTTTTCAGAAATCAGCTGATAGCCTTATGGGAACTCCTTTGTAGGTAACTGTCTCCTTTTCTCTTGCTGCTTTTAAGATTCTCTCCTTATCTTTAATCTTGGATAGCTTAATAATTATGTGCCTTGGTGTGTTCCTCTTTGGGCCCAACTTCTTTGGGACTCTCTGGGCTTCCTGGACTTCCTGGAAGTCTATTTCCTTTACCAGATTGAGGAACTTTTCCTTTATTATTTGTTCAAATAAGTTTTCCATTTCTTGCTGTTGTTGTTCTCCTTCTGGCACCCTTATAATTCAGATATTGGAACATTTCAGGTTGTCCCAAAGGTTTGTAAGACTCTCTTCACTTTTTTGAACTCTTATCTGTTCATTCTGTTCCAGTTGAATGTTTATTTTTTCCTTTTGTTCCAAATTGTTGCTTTGAGTCCTGTTTTCCTTCCTATCACTGTTGGTTCCCTGAATATTTTGCTTTATTTCATTTTGGGTATCTTTCATTTGTTTTTTCATTTTTTGACCAAGCTCAATCAGACCTGTGAGCATTTTGATTACCAGGGCTCTAAATTCTTCATCAGATAGGTTGGCTATCTCCTCATTGTTTATTTCTTCTTCTGCAGTTTTGCTCTGTTCTTTCATTTGGGCCATATTTCTTTGTCTTGGTGCACCTGATAAGTTGTAAGGGGGTGAGGCCTTATGTATTCACCAGGGCAGGACAACCCTCTTTGCTACACTGCGGTGCTGCCTGTGGGGGAGGGGCCAGAGAGGGAACAATGCAGCTCGCCTGCTCATCTCTAGCCCACTTTCCAACAAACTCTCCTGTGGGACTGGTAGTTTCTCCGGCCGCAGCAACCGCAGCAGTCCTCAGTCAACTCTGAGTTTCAGTTTCGCCTTCAGCTAGCCCTGCCCACACAGCCCACCTCCTTGCCACAGCCAGTCCCACCTGTGCAGTCCACCAGTTGAGGCTTGTTTTGTCTCCTGTCATGTGCTCTATCTTTGAAAATATCCCATGTTCATCTTGAAAGAGTGTGTATTTTGCTTTTTTTGGGTGAATGGTCCTGTATATATCAATTAAGTTCGTTTGATTTAGCATGTCATTCAGTGCCACAATATCTCTGTTGATTCTTTGTTTGGAAGAGCTGTCTGTTGGTGACAGCAGGGTGTTAAAATACCCTACAATAAGTGTGTTGCTGTCTATATTTTTCTTGAAGTCCTCCAAGATTTTCTTGATGTATTTTGGTGCTCCTATGTTGGGTGCACCTATGTTTAAAATGTTTATAGCTTCCTGATGGATTCTTCCCTTTAAAATTCTGAAATAACTTTCTTTGTCTCTTTTTATGGCCTCTGCTTTGAAATCTATTTTGTCTGATATAAGTATTGCTACCCTGGCTTTTTTTTTTTCCCCTCTCCATTTGCTTGGAATATTTTTTTCCAACCCTTCACCTTCAGTCTGTGTGGCTCTTTTGTTCTGAGGTGCGTCTCTTGTGGGCAGCATATGTGCTGGTCATGTTTTCTTATTCACTTAGCTACTCTATGTCTTTTGATTGGAGCATATAAACTATTTATATTTAAGATTACTATTGATAGATACTTATTCATTGCCATTTTTTCCTTTTGTACTTTGTTCCTCTCTTTATATATATACCTTCATCTTCTTAAAGCATTCCCTTTAGCATTTCTTGCCATGCTAGTTTGGTGGAGTGTATTCTTTTAATCTTCTTTTGTCTGGGAAACTCCTTATTTTGACTTCCATTTTAATTAAGAGCATTTCTGGGTAGAGTAGTCTTGGTTGCAGGCCTGTGCTTTTCATTATGGAATATTTCTCATTCTCTTCTGGCTTGTAGTGTTTCTGTTGAGAAATCAGCTGCTAACCTTATCAGAGTTCCCTTGTATGTTACTATCTGTTTCTCCCTAAATGCTTTCCAGATTCTCTCTTTGTCTTAAAATCTGGCATTTTAATTAGGATGTGTCTTAGAGTGGGCCTTTTGGGGTTCATCTTGATTGTGACCCTCTATGCTTCCTGATCTTGCATGGCTTTTCCCCTCTTCAAGTGCGGAAGTTTTCTGTCATTTTTTCAAAGAGGTTTTCTATCCCTTGCTCCTCTTCTTCTCCTTTTGGTATTCCTATGATTCAAATGTTTTTATGTTTCATGTTGTCCTGAAGTTCCCGTAAGCTATCCTCATACTTTTGAGTCTTTTTTTCATTTTGTTGCTCTACCTGGGTACTTCCTTCTACCCTGTCTTCCAGCTCACTGATTCATCCAGCCTGTTTGTAATTCCTTCTAGTATATTTTTTTATTTCAGATATTGTTCTTCATTTCTTCTTGATCCCTGCTTGCAGTTTCTATGTCCTTTTTATGTTATTGAAGTTTATAGTTGTCACTGAGTTCCCTGAGTACCCTTAAACCATTTTTTAAAATTCTATGTCTGATAGATTGCTTGACTCAATTTCATTTAGCTCTTTTACTGGAGATTCTCCCATTCCTTTTGATTTGGAGTTCTTTCTTTGTCTCCCCATTTTGGTGACTCTTTTTGTTTGTTTATGCATTTCAGGGTGCTCTGCTTTGCCTGCCTATCTTCATGGGGTGGATTTCTGAATATACCACAGCTTTTTTATCCACTCAGCTACTGATGGGAATTTAGGGTGTTCACAAATTGTGGCTATTATAAGTAATGATGCAGTGAACATACAGTGAATATATTCTTTTGAATGAGAGTTTCATGTTCACTTGGATATATTCCCAGAAGTGGAATCGCTGGATCATAAGGGAGATCCATTTTTAATTTTTTTACCTAATATGCTAATATTCTCATGCATATATGGCTGGACAATATGTGTTACAGGATAAACTGATAATAAATATGATGTGATCACATACATCAGTAGTACTGAAATGTCTAACTGTAAGTTCATAATGTATGTCTGTAACTGCTAAAACCTGGGAAATTATTTTGCTGAGAAGACTTTTGAAATAAGAAAGATTTGACAACATCTAATGCAAAAGAAAAGTATTTTTTACAACTAAAACATATGAGGTCTGTCCACAAAAAGTGCAGGCATTGTTAATACTTTTATTTAATCTTTATTGTATTTTTTGCCATTACTATTTAGTCCCCTTATACCTCTCCCTGCTAGCAACAACACACTATTGTCCATGAGTCCTTTTCCTTTTAACTCCATCCCTCTACCCTCTCACTTCCCCCACCACTAACTATCTTCTGTTCTCCACCTATGAGTTTGTATCTGTTTTGCTTTTTATTTCAGCTTGTTCATTAAACTTCCCACATGAATAAAATCATATGGTATTTGTCTTTCTCTGTCTAATATCATTTAGAAAAATGTTCTCCAGGTCTATCCATACTGTCCCAAAGGATAAAATTTCCTTCTTTTTTACAGCCAAGTACCATTTCATTGTGTGAATGTCTCATAGTTGTTTTATTCACTCGTTTACTGATGGACACTTGGGCTGTTTCCATATCTTGGTGATTGTAAATAATGCTGCAATGAACATGGATGTGCTTATGTTCTTTCAAATTAGTGTTTTGGGTTCCTTCAGATATATTCCCAGAAGTCGATTAGCTGGGTTATAAGGCAGATTCATTTTTAATTATTTGAGGTATCTCCACACTGTTTTCCACAGTGGCTGCACCAATCTGCATTCCTACCAACAGTGCAAAAGAGTTCCCCTTTCTCCACATCCTCACCAGCACTTGTTTGTTGATTTACTGATGGTAGCCATTCTGAGAGGTATGAGTAGATATCTCATTGTGGTTTTATTTTGCCTTTCTCTGATGCTTAGTGATGTTGAGCATCTTTTTCATGTCTATTGGCCATCTGTATGGTAGAACATATTCTCTGATCATATCTCTACTAACAGGTCCATTTCCAAAATTTATGAAGAATTTATAAAACTCAACACCAAAAACACCAAAAAATCCATGGAAAGACTAAGCAAATTATTTGCATAAATACTTCTCCAAAGAGGACATAGAAATGGTCAACAGACACGTGAAAAGATGCTCTGTACACTTCATTTAACTTTTGTCTCATACCTACAGTAGCTCACCATTCTCTGATACCTTTATATTTAGAAAGGCATCACATTTTCAGCAAGAGGTAGGTGGATACCTAGAGGTCATTCCTGGAAAGCAAAATGTTTTAAGACATATAAAAAAAGCTATTCCCTCATGCAGACAGAAGAGTGTAAATCTATATGCTCCAAAGAGTCTTGCCAGGTACAGGTAATATACAGTCCATATGCCAAATTTGGCCAGCAGGTTGGTTTTTGTACAGCCTAAGACCAAAGAATGTTTCTTCCATTTTAATGGATTGTAAATATATATATATTTAGATATATATGAAGGAAAATAAGATTATGCAAATGAGATTGACTGTAACTAGATATTTACTATCAGGCCCTTCACAGAAAAGTTTTGCCAACACCAGAATCTATTTTTTGGTGTACTGCAGAATTTTAGTAGCTTACATATGTGTGCCATGAGATGAAAAAGGTTGAAATTCAATGGATTAAGTACTTAATGTGTTATTATTACCTAGTAAAAACACACATTAAGTACATGTATTTACATGAAAAATGCTTTGGGAATGAGGAAATGAAATGAATAGCTGGATAAATTCCTTTTCTTTTAAGAATCTGAAGTATTTATAGAATTCTACCCAGTTACCTGCATGAAAATGCATAATGTTAAATAACTAAATGTCATCCTATAGTCATTTATACACTTCAATGGTTTGTTTATTTATTTTACTTCACTAGTTTAAAGAATAATGCAAGTGATGGAGTTGGGAGCATCACTAAGAAATGCAAAGACTGCCTCAGAAGAATAGTGCTGCAAAGTATCCAACAGCAGGACATAAAGTTGGTGTCCCTGAGTAACTCTAAAAGAACCAGGCTGCTCCAAAGAAAGCAGGGTGACCCCAATTCCATGTCTTTGGGTTCCTTTCGGTATTATCAGTCTATGGCAAAGCAGTGTTCATGAAGAATGAAGATCTTGAAACAGACGCTTTAGTTCTATCTCCCTTAACGGACTTTATTGACCATTTTACGTCCATCTTTAGTCCTCAGGTGCAGAGATTTTGTGTGTATATAAATCTGACAGTTATGTCTCTACTAAAGTTAAAGAATTCAAAGCCAACGAAAATAAGTAATGTCTGTTGCCTAAGATCAAGTAATAGGGCCATATATTAACTTGTCTGTATTATACAGATAAATGATATTTAAGACTCCAGGAATCACAAACTTACAAAATCTTTAAGTTGAAAAGACCTTAGAAATCCCTGGCTGAAATTCTTCCAAAAGTAATAATGCCTGCAACAATCTAGACTTTTCCAGGGGCAAACGTGTCCTCATCTTGGCAGGGAGGGCCTTCCACGGTGGAAGAGTGCAAACTTCATTAATCTCACGCCACACTGCAGCACTCTCTGAGTTGCTGTACCTCAGGCCAAATGTGTCTGGAGAAACTAACTGTGCCATCTTGGACACACTGGATCTCATATTCCTCACATTACATCTGGAAACTGGACCAGAAACAGACTGGTGTGCAACAAAGGAAGATATGTAAGCAATCAAACCCCTGAGACTGCAAAGCCCAGGGCAGCATCTACTTTTTCATGAAAATAAGACAACATAATAAATGTAGGTCTATAATAAAGAGTTAGTAAGGTATGGGGGAGGAGCATGGAATTTGAATTGGTAAAGAACTTGAAGCCAGAATATTTGATCCCTTGTCCAGTTGTGACATTTTCTTAGCTCTAAAATAGTGATGATAAAACATAACCCACGGGGTCACTGAAAAAATCAGACAAAATAATGCATGCAAAAATAATGCATTTATACACACACACACACACACAGTGTATAAGCATCAAATGTTTCTCCCTGTAGATATTATGTTCCTCAAAACTAGAACTAATCTTGTTTTTTCTATGCTTTGTACCCAGCACAACCTCAAGCTCACAAAAGACTTTAATAATGTTTGGTGAATAAATGAATGACCATCCAAAAACCCCATACACAAAGAACACTGCTCTGATTGCATGTGTAGTTGGTCAAGATTAGTCTTAAAATATGTAAATGTCAGTTTTAAAAAAGTTTATGTTCTTACAAACTTCCTGTTACAAAATAAGTCATGGGGATGTAATGCACAGCCTGGTAACTGTAATTAAATTGCATATTTGAAAGTTGCTAAAATAGATCTTAAAAATTCTCCTCACATACACACAAAAAATTTGTAACTATGTATGGCAATAAGATTTATTATGGTAATAAAACAAGTTTATGCTAAAATATAAAAGATAAATAAAATGTAAGTGAACCAAATGTGTTATAAATATGTTCATTCTATACTTATATATACACACACGAAGAAGTACATAATTCAATAGTTCAAATATATGAGTAAACAAAAATTATAAATGAACTGTGATTTTTAAATAGAAACTATCACAGCAAAGCACCTAAAATTCAATAAAGTACAAAAATTCTTACTTAAGGTGATTATCTGACTGACAGTTCACTTCAGTGTTTTGCTATTATGGACAAAATTTGTTACACATAATTGATTACTCTTTAGCAAACCTTCCAGAATGCAATGTAAATTTTATTTACGATAGCCCTGGCTGGTGTGGCTCAGTGGATTGAGAGCTGGCCTGCAAACCAAAGGGTGGCCAGTTCCATTCCCAGTCAGGGCACATGCCTGGGTTGCAGGCCAGGTCTCCAGTAAGGGGGCATTGTGAGAGGCCACCACACGTTGATATTTCTCTCCCTCTCATCCTCCCTTCCCCTCTCTCTAAAAATAAATGAAGTCTTTAAAAATTTTATTTATAATAGCAAAAATTGTACTATCAAATTGTAAAATCTAGCTATCAAATTGTAAAAAATCTTACTAACAAATCACTTTGACAAATCTGGGGAGAAGGCATATTGATTTTATAAATAAAAACTGTATGAGGATAATCAAAGAAAGTTGAGTTACCTGGGTCTGTAGAGGGAATGACATAGGTGTTTTGTTTTAACTCTTCTGGCCTGAATAAATATTCTCATCCAAGGGTCAAAATATAGGACAGAAGTGTAGGCTCTGAATGACCATCTCTCTGGGAAACTAGAATGGAAAATAGCAAAGGTCACACTATAGAGGATGCAATAACAACACATCATTCAGAAGAAAATAATCAGGCTACTAGGTTATGATGGTTACTACTAGCAGCCTAGGGAACTTTTCTTTGAAACCTAACAATGACACAGCAAACACCAGCAAATCTTGCAACACTCAAATCATTAAGCAGGCCACTTTACAGATAAGTAGTTAATATGAATACTAGGTTTTATTATTTTTTTCCTACATGTAATTAAAAAGCCAACTGACTGATTAAAGTATAAGTAACATCAGCAAAAAAAAAAAAAAAATTAGGCCTCTAAGTACAAAGGCCTACATGGATAATCGGCACTTTGATTAGAACTGAACTTTTGTTAGCAATAACTGATTCCAAGTAGATTTACATCAGCTACAGAAAGTATTAAAGTTATTGGCCCAGGAGGACAAAACCAAGACAAATAAAACAATTCCCCTGCTTGAACATTTTTTTAAAAAAAGAATTTAGGCCTGCATAAATAAAAATATTTTCCTGAGCCCTGGCCAGTGTGGCTCAGTCAGTTTGGTTTATGTTGTCCCATAAACCAAAAGGTTGAGGGTTTGAGGATACATGCCTAAGTTGTGGGTTCGGCCCCAGTCGGGGCATTTACGGGAGACAACTGATGGGTGTTTCTCTCACATCAATGTCTGTCTGTCTGTCTGCCTTTCTCTTTCGCTCTCTCTCTCTCTCTCTCTCTCTCTCTCTCTCTCTCTCTCTCTCTCTCTCATATCAATGGATATATCCTTGCATGAGGATTAAATATGTATTTTCCCATTAAATTATTGCAGAGAAATACAATAAAAACGTTTCATTTGCTTTGAAAATTATAACCTAGAGACACAAAACTCCATTCTGTAAGTGCAATAAGTATTAAAATAACTGTTTTTGTCAAACTGAGGGGAGGAGTTTGATGATGTGTTAAGTAAAAAAGAGGAAAATAAAGGATGGGAAGGCATAAAAATGGGAGCAGAAACAATATAAAATAGCCTACATTGAAAAATCACTGTGTTGCTGCATGCTAACAACTCCAGGGAGCTTCTATTTTAAAGTCCACTTATGAACTGTAAACCTCCTCCAATTAGACAAGAAATAAAGATCAGAAACAAGCCAAGTCATGCTTCAGAAGTAGTGCTATCTACTAGGTCCCAGAAAAGGCTACAATGAGGGGTTTACAAGGCCAAATATAAATCAGAGAGAAGTACACCCATCATTTTTACAATCCTATCTCAGTCCAATGGAAGACAAAAAAGATGGAAAAGAAACATAAAAGCTGTCCTGGGGGACTGCTCAACAGGGTCACACCACTGCCAGTCACTCCATAAGAAGGAACAGAGCTCCAAAGAATTTACAAAAATGAAGATGAAGCTTGTAAGGAATCCAAGGATTCCCTGGTTGGTTTTAATTTCCTTCAGGCAGAATCTGAAGTTCATTAAAAAGCCTGAAATTTCTTTGAATTGTTTAAAAAGAAATTATTTGAAAGGTCTGTATTTTGCCATGTATAATGTGTACTTTTTCACCCAAACTATTGAGGGGAAAATGAGGATGCACATGGGTATAATGATTACATACCATGGGCATAATAATAGGTATAATAATCCCATGTATAATGTGCACAAAACATGGATGCACATTATACATGGGAGCACATTATACACAGCAAAGTACAGTTCCCAATATAAATTATAAGGAAGTGTCTATTCCATGGTTATTATTCTGTAAATACTAATGCATTTCAATGTGACATTTGGGTGTAGCACTACAATCATGTTGTTTTTAGTATGCCAGGAGCTGTACAATCAACTAAGTCTTCACCTGTTAAAAGAAAAAAGAAGTCATCTTGGGACACTTATAAACATTTCATGGACTTTTGTCATTATTCAAATGCCTTCTGGATCTCCTGATTTGAAATTGTCCTTAGAGACAGTATAGCTCTTTCTTTGGACTGTCCTTAAAGCAAACACATCTCTGTCATTTAAAGGTAACAGTGATTCAGAGCCAAGTTTAAGAAATATAGAAATATAGTGGGAGATCAAATTGGGTTAGACAAATTTGGGTTAAAAATTATTATACAAATCAAAACAAGGACACTACTACTTCTATCTCTTGATGGGTCAACTTTTACTCAATAAATATCTATAGGTAAGTATTTATGTGTGTTGGGGATCCTCAAGACCTCCTCTATGTTAAGAGATTTGCTAGAAGAACTCACAGGACTTATCACATAATTGTACTCATGACTAAGACTTGTCACAGTGATGTAGAAAACATATACAGTGGATCATAAAGGGAAAAGATAGGTGGCGTCCAGAGGAACCCATATGCAGCTTTCTTACAGTTTCTCCCTCTCATGACAGGTCACACAGAACATACCATACCCCCAGGTATGAAAGTCAGGAACATGTATGTGATGTTTCTGCCCAACCAACCCCATTAGAGACTCAGCACAAAACATTTTCAATGGGGGCTGGGTCACATAGGCACCCTCTGCTGAGCACATATCAAAATTCCAGAGTCCCAGAAAGGAAGTTGGTTTTTAGTATCATCCATATTGTTTGCATAGTCTAGACATATTGTACCACCTTCTCTGTTAGGGAAAGGTTTATAACAGTGTAGGGAACTGCTTATCAGCTAAGTTCCCAGACACTAGCCAAAGACCAACCCTGCAAACAAGGCTTACAAGGAATAAAAACCTTATATTAACCCTTTTCTACATATACGCCTACTTTTGAAAGTTCCCATTTATCTGTGACAAACAGAATGGCCATACCTCTTATGCTATTGTGATATCTCCACGATTTTTAAAAAATGTACACTTCCATTCAAGATGACAGCATAGGCAGACATGGCTCCCCTCTTTGTACAACCACATCAAAATCACAGCTAAGATACAGAACAACCATTACTCGGAACTGACAGAAATCAAGTTGAAGGGAAGTCTGACAACTATGGGATTAAAGAAACCACATTCGTCCAGACTGGTAGGAGGGGAAAAGATGCAAAATACGCTGGTCCCCCATCCATGTGTGGTGTATACAAATTCGGGAGGGATATTTTGGGAGCAAGGAGTCCCACACTCACACCAGGCCCCCAGCCCAGGGTTCCAGTACCAGGAAGATAAGTCCCCAAAACTTTTGTCTGAAAAACCCAGTGGGGGTTGAGTCGGGGGAAGAAACTTCTGGAACTCCAAGTAGTTCCTCTTAAAGAACCCACATATGGACTCACCTACTCACTCACTTCCTCTGGGCTCTGGTGCTGGGATGGTGGCTTGAAGGGCACCAGTGGCATGCAGGGCGAGGCTGAGGTGTCTGACATCAAGGCAAGCAGAGGCCACTGTCCCTTTTCTGGGCCCTCCCCCCACAGAACCAGTAAGCTGGTACCATATCAGAGACTCCATCATCCTGGCCAGCACTGTTTGATCCACCTTGGAGATTCCCAGAGACTTGGCCCCACCCAATTCACATAGGCCCTCCCAAGCTGTATTTCCATATGAATGTCTTATCTTGGCTCATACTTCACAACTTCCTAAATCCTCTCAAAGAAACAGCAGCTGGCCTCAGTGAGCCAGTGAGCCCCAGGCCCAAAACTAGTAGCCTAGATTCATAGCTTGGCTTCACCTAGAAACAAGCCCAGAACAAGTAGCAGCCAACTGAGATTGCGTTATAGTTCAGGCAGAGTGGCCCCAGGAAAAACACAGCTGGGGGCTGATCTTGGCATGCACCACCTGGGAAACCCCAGGGCCAGCGCACCCAGTGGACAGCTACAGACCTCAGTGGACCACCACCACCCTGCCCCTGCACAGCTCATCCTCCATAGATGGTGGAGGTTGGTGGTCAGTGGTCACAGCATATCCTTGCAGATGACTGGCCTGGGTAAATCCCTCCCATTGATGTGCCAATAGCAATCAAGGCTCAACTACAAAGGGAGGGTGTACTCAGCCCACAAGAAAGCCCACACACCTTGAGTACCCAGCTTAGGTGATAGGGGAGGCTGTGCCACTAGACTCTACAGGACACCTACTACATTACACCACATGAACAAGACACAGAGGCAAAGCAGCTCTACCTAATACATAGAAACAAACACAGAATAGCTCCCAAAATGAGGAGACAAAGAAACATGGCCCAAATGAAAGAACAGATCAAAACTCCAGAAAAAGAACTAAATGAAATGGAGATAAGCAATCTATTAGATGCAGAGCTCAAAACACTGGTTATAAGGATGCTCAAGGAACTTAGTGAGGACCTCAGCAACATAAAAAAGATCCAGTCAGAAATAAAGAACACACTAATTGAAATAAAGAATAATTTACAGGTTAACAACAGGAGAGTGGATAAAGCTGAGAATCAAATCAATGATTTGGAACATAAGGAGGCAAAAAACCAATCAGAACAAGAAGAAAAAAGAATTTAAAAAATGAGGATAGTGTAAACAGACTGTGAGACAACTTTAAGCAATCCAATATTTGCTTCATAGTGGTGCCAGAAGAAGAGGAAGAAGGAATTTGAAATCTTTTGAAAATAATGAAAGAAAACTTCCCTAATTTGGTGAAGGAATTAGACATGCCAAAGCTAAAAAGCACAGAGAGTCCCAAACAAGATGGGCACAGAGAGGCAACTAGAAGACACATCATAATTAAAATGTCAAAGGTTAAAGATAAAGAGGTGGGAGGGGGAAGGGAGAGAATGGGTGAGAGGTGAGGGAATTAAGTACAAATAGGTAGTTACAGAAGAGCCATGGGGATATAAAAGTACAGTATAGGAAAGTGAGTAGCCAAAGAACCTACACATGACAGTTGGACATGAATAAGAGTGAGGGCATTGCCTGAAGGAGTAGAGGGTACTGAGTAGAAGGGGGCAAAGGGGAAAAAGTCAGGACAACTGTAATAACATAATCAATAAAATATAATTAAAAATTAAAAAATTTAAATGCATAGGAAAAATATAAAATCTGAATAAGAAATTAGCCACCC